AACCCTGCACAAAAGAAGAAATAACAAAACTCAGGGCAGAAATCAATGAAATTGAAACAAAGAAAACAATACAAAGAATCAACAATTCCATGAGCTGGTTCTTTGAAAAGATAAACAAGATTGACAGACCGCTAGCCCTTTAACCAAAAGAAAGAAAGAGCACCTCCAAATCAACAAAATCAGAGATGAAAGGGGATCACAACAGACACCAGAAAGATAAAGAACATTATAAGGGAATACTTTAAAAACCTATATGCTACTAAATTTAAAAACCTAAAAGAAATGGATGGATATCTAATGGCATGGGAACCACCAAAAGTAAACCAAGAAGAAATTAACAGCTTAAACAGACCCTTAACACAAAAAGATATTGAAAGAGTAATACAAAACCTCCTGAGTAAAAGAACCCCAGTACCAGATGGATTTACAGCAGAATTCTATCAGACACTGAAAGAAGATCTGCATCCAATACTACTTAATTTATTCAAAAAAATAGAAATGGAGGGAGAACTTCCAACTTCCTTCTATGAAGCCAGCATCACTCTAATACCAAAGCCAGGTAAAGACACAACCAAAAATGAAAACTATAGACCCATATCCTGGATGCAAAAATTCTTAACAAAATATTTGCAAACTGCATACAGACACACATAAAAAAGATCAACCACCAGGATCAAGTAGGCTTTATTCCAGAGATGCACGGATGGTTCAATATATGTAAGTCAATTAATGTCATAAATCATATAAATGGGCTCAAAGACAAGAACCACATGGTCATCTCAATAGATGCAGAGAAGGCCTTTGACAAAATTCAACATGCATTTATGTTCAAAGTCCTAGAGGGAACTGGACTGGAGGGAACATACCTCAACATAATTAAAGCCATATATAAGAAACCCACAGCCAACATCATTCTAAATGGAGAAAAACTGGAAGCATTCCCATTGAAATCAGGAACCAGACAAGGCTGTCCACTATCTCAACTTCTCTTAAACATAGTGCTTGAAACTCTTACAAGAGCAATAAGAGAAGAACAGGAAATTAAAGGAGTAATAATTGGAAAGAAGAGATCAAAATATCCCTTTTGTAGCTGATATGATATTATA